TTGAATATCTCCAGAGAAGGAGACTCCACAACCTCCCTGGGCAGCCTGTTCCAGTGCTCCGTCACCCTCAGAGGGAAGAAGTTCTTCCTCATCTTCAGACGGAACTTCCTGTGCTTCAGTTTGTGCCCGTTGCCCCTTGTCCTGTCACTGGGCACCACTGAAAAGAGCTTGACCCATCCTCCTGACACCCACCCTTCAGATATTTGTAGGCATTTATAAGGACCCCTCGCAGCCTTCTCTTCTTCAGGCTGAACAAGCCCAGCTCCCTCAGCCTCTCCTCATATGGGAGATGTTCCAGACCCCTCATCATCCTCGTAGCCCTCCGCTGGACTCTCTCTGCCCCATACTGCACAGCCCTGTCTGGTCTCATCCCACTCTGTGCCAGCACCTCATGGTCTCCCAGCTGAGGGCAGGAGCTTGCTCCTTCCTCCGGGAGTGGAAGCAGCAGGCAGCAAAACGGGAAAGTGCATCAGCCAGCCCTGCCTCGGTCAGGCCATGTAGGGCTGGAACACCTTTGAAGGGACTCTGGGCTCCAAAAGCCTCTTTGCACCGTGTGGAGATCCTGGGGCTCACGGTGAGCATCTGGGGTTCACTGAAACGGCGTAACAGAGGCCAAGGCAGAAGCTGGGTCCAGAACACGAGCCAACTCCTGTTAGTCAACTGCTGAGGACCAAGCTGATGGCTCACTGTCTCCTGGGCACTTCATGGCTCCCAGCTCTGCCCGAGCATCCCAGCATCAGTCTGCACCGCTGCAGCAGAAATGCCCTGATGTCCATTTTATCTCGTGGTAAAACACCAGCACTGCTTTTTCCCCCCTGTCACTGTGCTGGTGAGGATGAGCTCTCCTCCCCAAAGTGGACAGGCTGCACAGCACGATGGCCTGGAAATGCATGTTTGATTCCTGTTTTCCCACCAGCTGCCGGAGGTGCTTTTGTCGAGCCACCTCCCCTGTGCCTCTCCGTTCCCCGGCTGCAAAGGACGGAGGCACTGCTGACACTTCTTCCTCTGCAAAGAGCTGTTAGAGTTACTGCTGCGACCCTGCTAGGGCTAGGCAGTGTCATTTCAACACCAGGATTCCATAATGTTCATCTAACCGGCATCCAGGGCTCGCCTCCAACCCTGCTTTGGGGTCGGACAGGCTGTTGGTGGGCACAACTTTGCTCTTGCTTCACACAAGAGAGGGGTAACTCTCACTCGGGAAGCGGGGTACGCTGGCTCTGCAACACCAGCATCTCCCCCTGCCCCTTGCCTGTACCTCTAATTGCAGATTAAAGGCTGATGGGACCATCCAGGTGCTGGCCACAGTGCACAGTCAGGGAGCAGGACACGGTCCACATCACCACTGGGACGTGTCCACGGCACAGGGTGGGAGTGGAGGAACAGAACGATCGAGACATTCACAGACCCCGGGGTGAAAAATTATTGCTAATGTCCATATCCACTGTGCAAGAGTTTGTTGGTTTGGGACCCAGAGGTGTAAACACATGGACAGACAGAACACACGCTGCTGGATGCACCCACAGTCGTTTTGTTAATGTTCTGTCCGCCCATGCCGCAAGTGCAGGAGACCTTCTCTGTTTGGTGGCAACTTCCCAGCTCTGGCACTGCACTTTTGTGCTCACTGGAACAAGATGTTGAGAACAGTCTCACCTGTCGAAACCATGCTGAAATGTCCGTTTGCTGGCTGGAAGGAGAATGACGTGCTGCATCTCCTACGAGGAGAGGCTGAGGGAGCTGGGCTTGTTCAGCCTGGAGAAGAGAAGGCTGAGAGGGGACCTTCGAAATGCCTCTAAATATCTGCAGGGTGGGGGTCAGGAGGACGGGGCCAGACTCTTTCCAGTGGTGCCCAGCGACAGGACAAGGGACAACGGGCACAAACTGGAGCAGAGGAAGCTCCAGCTGAACCCGAGGAAGAACTTCTTCCCTCTGAGGGTGATGGAGCCCTGGCCCAGGCTGCCCAGGGAGGCTGTGGAGTCTCCTTCTCTGGAGATATTCCAGCCCCGCCTGGCCGCGGTGCTGTGCCCCCTGCTCTGGGTGACCCTGCTTGGGCAGGGGGTTGGGCTGGGGGATCCACAGAGGTGCCTGCCAACCCCTAACATTCTGTGATCCTGCAGCAATGCTGGACTGGCTTCTGGGTTTGCTCCCCTTTCCCCCTTCCTCCAGCCCAGGATGTTCTCTGGCAGCAGGTCTGCATCCTTTGCTTGTCAGACAGGCTGCCTGTGTAGGATGGGGGGAGGGTCATGAGTGCAAATCCCTGCTTTATCGGTAGAAAGGCAGAAAATTTATTCCTAAATCATGCAAAACAAGGATCTCATTATTCTGAGACACTGACACGTCTGTCCTTACTGCTTTTAAAGTTATTCCTGCAAAAGGACTGCTGAAACCGATGTGCTGACACAGAATCCTTCCATTCTAGCGAAAAAGCTGTCTTCCATTAAGCCAGTCTGAGTCAAAAAAGCTCTGATCGCTCCTGTCTAAAAGCCACCCTCGTCCTCTCCTCTTGGGATCATATACGTTTTCTTTTAGATATCATATTCTGATCAAAATGCACCAGAGCAATGGTAAAAGCATTTTCATCACTGATTCAGAAAACGATTTTAATCAATTTCTTGAAAACACATCAGTACTAAAATATGAAGGGCCAGATTTCTGCTTAACCTAAGCTGGCCTCAGTGAATCTCTACAAATTTATATCCTTGCGCTCATCACAGTTTGAGAGGTTAAGGTCCAGAGGGGCCCTTGACTGCCCTGCAGCTCGGCCTTCTGCACAGAATAGGTCAGAAATCCCCCCCATGGTGATTTCAGCAAGCTCAGAGGTACCGGGTGGGCTGGGAGATGCCCGTCGTTGGTTTAGAGGCCGGTATCCCCAGACGTCGCACTGGAGCTCCGTATGCGAGGGGCATCACTTTGTGGGTGGGGGTCCACGATCAGCCCCATCAGGCAGGCAGAAAAGGGCAGCAACGAGAGGGCTGATGCCTTTCAGAGAGAGCCCAAATAACCAGGACCCTCCCTCTTGGCCAGCCATTCTGGAGCGTGATGCTCCCAGCAGCCAGGAGCCCATCCCAGAAAATTTGGAGGTTTTATTGACTGTTACAGACACATCTGCCTCCGGAGGTTCTAATGGTACTTGTGGGCCAGAGCATGGGCCACCACGCCGACCAGCTTCTGCCAAGTGGCCTGGCAGGTAGGGGTGAAGTCCTTGGTGAAATGCGCAGCCAGCACAATGATGAGGATGTCTCCCAGGAGCTGGAGATGGAAGGAAATCAGGTCAGTACGGTGCTGAGCACCCCTTCGTCCTGCACAGAACCCAGGGACCAGGGGCTGGGGGAACCCCAGCTCTCTGGTGGGTCTTGGGGGCTGCAACCCAGGGAAGCTCTGTTAGCTGAATGCTCTGTGCATGAAAATAATCCTGTGCTGACCATATGCACCAGTATCCACCTGCTCTGTCTCTGCTTCTTCTCACACCTGCTTTTTCCAGCCTCCAGACTTTATTTCCAGATATTTTCTGCATTTTTTCTTTTTTTTCTTTCACTACTGTGAAGCTCCATGCCTACTTGAGCAGAGGGTTAGGGTCAGTGTGAGAGCTACCTGCTACATCCCCAAAGTCAGGCTAAAAAAGAGACTAAAACAGAGACCATCAGCCACATCCAGCCCTTTCAGTCCCTTCAAGCCTGAACTGCTCCCTTTCTTCACCCACAGTGACTTCTCACCCCCCTGCACCCTGATCTCTTCATTCCCGTCCTGCTCCCCTCCCTCATCTGCTGACTTTGTCCCCATGCTCAGACCTGTCCTCCCAGTCTCTAATCCCAGTCTGCATCTCTTCCCACCAGTGTCCAGCCCCTGACCAGCCCACACTTGCTTCTCCCTGTCCTCTCATGTCTTCCAGCCTTGGAAAAAGGGGAGACGAGGTGGTCCCCATCCCTGGGGCCAGGAGGTGCCAGGGGCACCCACACAGCTGAACTTCCCTCCATGCTCTCCACGCTCAGTCCCAGTCAGCCTCCCGACATCTTTCTCTCACTTTTCTGAAGCCATGCCTGCACAAGCGAGCCTCCAGGCTTTCAGAGCATCTGCCTATATTTGTCCCCAGATCGCTCACAGCTTGGAGCCTGGCTTTTCCCTGGCGTTATCAAATGGCCAACCTTCCCCTCTCCGCAGTTTCCATCCGAGCCAGCCCCTTTCTGTTTGGTAACTAAAATATATGTTATTTATGCTTGTTTGAAACCTCCAGGCATTGAGAAACTCTGTAGGATGGAGGGAGAGAGGGTCAAGCCCCGAGCACAGCTCACCCTGAAGTTCTCGGGGTCCACATGCAGCTTCTCACAGTGCAGCTCAGACAGCTTGGAGTAGGTTGCCTTGAGGTTTTCCAGGTTCTTCACGGCTTCCCCGAAGGAGGTGAGCACTTTCTTGCCATGGGCACGGACCTTGGGGTTGCCGATGATGGCAGTGGGGCTGGAGAGGTTCCCAAAGTTATCAAAGAACCTCTGGGTCCAGGGGTAGACGATCAGCAGCCTGGTGAGAGACGGAGGGACACAAGCAGACACAAACACATTAATGCTCCCAAATGCAACTGCCATGGCTTCTTCATCCCGGGTGCAGCTGAGCAGATGCCCAGGAGATGGGCCTACCTGGCCAGGGGCTCGGCA